AAAGAAAGAAAGAAAGAAAGAAAGAAAGAAAGAAAGAAAGAAAGAAAAAGAAAGAGAAAGAAAGAAGAGGCACCTCGGTGGTTCAGTCAGTTAAGCATCCAAGTCTTGATTTCGGCTCAGGCCATGATCTCATGGTTCATGAGATCCAGCCCCTCATCAGGCTTTGCACTGACAGCATGGAGCCTGCTTAGGATTCCCTCTGTCTCTCTCCTTTCCCCATCCCAACTTTCGTGCATGCATGCACATACCCTCTTTCTTTCTCTCTCAAAATAAACTTTTTTTTTAAAGAGGAAGAGAAATGGTACACATGTGTATGGGAGTCATACTAATACTGATATTGTTGCCCATCTATTGGGACAGCTATAGGGAAAGGAGGGGGGACCTTGGAGCAGAGCCCGATCTCAGTTAAAGCTGGAGGTAAAGAGATAGAGAAGTGTATTAACTATGGAGTGTATAGAGAATATAGGGAAGCTTATTAACCATTGGGTGAATTCAATAGGGTGCCATGAGAAGTTTGGGAAGGAGAGGTGCAATTATGAGTGGGGAAAAAGGGCCACAGAGCAGTTTGGAGGTGAGATTTCTCACTTCCCCCTCAGCCTTCTATCCAATATTTTAGCAAGCCCTATAGACTGTCTTCTAAATACTTCTTGATCCACCTACTTCTCTTCATCTCCATTACCACCCAGTGTCCAGGTCTATGTGATTTACCATCTAGTAACAGCACCAGTCTCCTCAGTGATCTCACATCCATTGTGGCCTCCTTTCACCCAGTCACAGTGATATCTCTAAAATGTAAACCTCAACACTCCATACCCATGTCTAAAATCCCTCAGGAGGTCTTCATTGCCCCCAAAGACAGACAAAATCTTAGCTTCTTAGCCTGGCATGAACTCATAAGCCCCTGCCTCCTTTTCCAACCTCATCTCCCACCAGCCCTTCATCTAGCTCCCCTGAATTACTGTGGTTCCCAATCCTGGCTGTTTCTTCTGTTCTGGCTTTTCTTTGCTTGTGTTCCCTCCTGCCTATAATGCTCCTGGAATGGTACTGCATAGTAGGCAGTGAATATATATTTGCTAAAGGGATTCCATACGTTCTACTCCTCTTTTGAAACTCAGATTAAGTGTTATGTGTAAAGGCTTTCCTAACCCCTTCATCCCAGGCATTGCTGGCTCCACTCTCCTTTGTATATACAGTCTTCCACCTTAATCTCTATCTCACTTTATTGCATTTGTCTAATGCCTTGTCTGGGGTCCCCTCTTGACCGTGATATAGAGTTGGAGATTATTGAGGGCAGGGACTGTGTAATTCGTTGACTGACACACTTCTCTGCACATAGGAGGTAAGTGGATGAAAGAAGCATGAGTAGGATCTTTTCTGTGAGTTCCTTGGAAACAAGCTAGAGGCTTCCAAGTGACAGAGCAGGTGGGAGAAGAGAATAAAGAGACTTAGATTTCCTCCTCAGAGAGGAGAAAGTTAACCTTGAGTACCAGAATTGCTGGATAACTGTTTAGACACCTCCAAGCTCTCTGGTATGATACAGTGATGGCCCTAGATGTAGTACATCAACTGAATGAGGCCCAGACCTGAGACTCTGGCCTTATCCTTACCCCTCAGACTGAAGGAAGGGCAGCCAGCCCTATAAGGATAATCATCCAGACATCATCAGGGATGAAGGAGAAAGCTCAAGATTCTTCTTGGGAGTGGACCCCACAGCTCTGGTGCCTTACCCCTAACCTCTGTTCCCAGCCCCAGCCAACCTCAAGTCCTGGGTCCATCCTGATCTAAGAGGCCCAGATTCATCTCTTTCCCTCCCTCCCAGCCACTGAAGCTGGTGAAGGAAACTTAGGCAGTCTCCTGGTCCAGTAGGACTGACTGGTGCATATCAAGAACCACTTTATGACCTGGCCTCCCAGTGCAAAGCCCTGTATGGCAGTTGGAGCTTGTCAGTCTACTGTTCTAGCCACCAAATTCCCACAAAACAAGGGGCCCCCAGGTCAGGAGGGGTTGGCCTTAAACCAGATAAGGCCGTGGTCTGGAGTATGGATCTACTTCCAGGGATTTGTCCCTCAGCCCTCCCCTCCCTTGCTTCCCACAGCCTCATTTGAACTTGAGAGCCTCCAAAGAGATGTCATTAGCTTCTTAATTCAAAGGAAGAAGTGAGATTGTTCCACAACCAGGGCCCCTTGAGTCCAGCAAAGCAGCACTCTGGCTTTATTGTAAAGAAAATAGGCAGAAGGGGCTATGCCAGACTCATGTCAAGAGCCCTCCTCTCAATGACTGCAGCCCAGGAGGCTGTCCACTCTCAGGGGCTGGGGTAGGGTCTTGGCTGTGTTCAGTTTCTCCACATCACTGTAGCAGTACATATTGGGGCCATGGATGAGGTACAAGCCAGGGCCGTTGGCAGAACATGAGTTGGGGCCAAGGGACTTTTCCACACACAGGGCCCCATCAACCTTCTCATGGGGCCAAGGAAGCTCCGTCCATGTGGCTTGGGCTCCTAACTTCAGGTCCAGCCACCACAGCTTCCGTCCTGGGAAAAAGGCATCAGACATAACATGGCTTACACATCATGGGGATCCTGATCTTGCCCTTCTTATGCCCTGATGGGGATCTATGCCATGGAGATATAGCAGAATAAGTCACCCTTTAGTATCCAGATGCCCCTCACCTGCCATAATGTGGAGCCGAGAAGACCCAGGACAAGTAAAGGCTGCATCTACAGCCTCAAGGTTGATCCCATGAGGGCTCCCAAATTCCTTCTCCAGCCTCTTTGGATAACCATCTACTAGAGTATAGCCTCCTTTAGTCAAGAAGATATATATCTGAGTGCCCTGGAGGAAAAAGGACATTAATCAGCATAGAGCTGGATATTCTCCCAGTCACCATTTCAAGCTTCTCTCCCAACACATACCTGGATCAGGTAAAGTTTATCATCCCAGGAAAAGGCAGCATCCACTGTTGAAGGACCCTGGGGCCACTGATGGACAATGGGCCAGCTGTGCCACCCATCACGGCTGGTGTCCAGACGCCAGTAGTGGGACCCTGTGGGGTATCAGAGGTACCTTTAGTGCTGGTAGTAAAAGGCCAGGCAGTGAACAGGCAAGTAACAGGTACAGGAATAGGTCCTGAGAAGGAGGAGAGAACATCCAGAGGCCAAGAGTGAAGAGGCCAGGTGAGAGGAGCTAGAGCAGGACTTCAGCAAAGTTGGGCATGGTGACCTGATTGGAGCTGGAGTCACTGGGGGCCTGACAGAAGGGCAAGCATGGAGAACAGTGGCCAAAGTCCCAAGAAGGTTGGTGGATGCTCCCTACACATCTCAGACATCCATGTACAAAAGTACTACAGATGAGACACAGTGACCAGAAGTTGAAAGGGAAGCACCACAGCACACTCCCACTGAGTGTTCTCATTCTGGTGGTGGTCTCTAATCCCTTGAGGTGACAGGAGAATGAGGGAGTAGTCAGACCAGCATCCTCATTTTCTTCTCCCCATTTCATAACAACTTATTAAAGGAATTGTCTAAGTTCCCATTTATCTTTCCTTCCTTTCCCCACTTCACTTACACTTATGTCCTCCATTGAAACTGTACTTTTCAAGGTCGTCAGTGTCCTCCAACTTGCCAAATCTAATCGTCGATTCTGTCTCCATCCTGCTCCGCCTCTCAGCAGCATTTGACTGCTCACGACTCCCTTCTTTAAAGATCTTTTTTTGGATCTTGGCTCCTGTGATACCAGCCTCTTCCAGTGTTCTTCTAAATTTTTTTTGACTATTCTTCTCTTTAGCCTGGTATCTTATATTGGAATCCTCTAGTTTGGGCCTTGTCACTACCTACACTCACTGCCTTGGTGATTTCACCCAGTCCAGGGCTTTAAATACCATCTTTATGCTGATGACTTTTGATCTGTCTTCTTCAGCTTTCATGGACCTCTCCTTTGAGCATCAGGCTTAAACTAAACTGCCTACCCAACATGTCCATGTGGGTCCGTTAGGCACCAAAAGCCTACCCTGTGCAAACTGATTTCTGCCCCCTGCCAAATACATACATGTATGTGCGCATGCGCACACACACACACACACATGCGCACACACACACACACACACACACACGCACACACACACCCCTACTCTTTCCCTAGTCTTTCCCAATTTTAGGAAAAGGAACTACCGGTCACCTAGTTGCCCAGGCCCCAAAAGCTAAGTCATTTCTTGAAACCTCTCTTTTCCCTTCCCCACTCCAACCAATATTCAATCCATTGGTTAATGCTGTCAGCTTGAGGGGTGCCTAGGTGGCTCAGTCAGTTAAGTATCTGACTCTTGATTTTGGCTCACATCATGATCTCATGGTTTGTGACTTTGAGCCCCTCACTGGGCTCTGTGTTGACAGCACAGGGCCTGCAGGGGATCCTTTCTCTTCCTCTCTCTCTGCCCCTCCCTTTCTCTCATGAGCACTCTCTGTCTCTCAAAAATAAATAAACTTTTTTAAAAAATGCTGTTGGCTCAACCTCCAAAATATATTATGATGACTCCTCACCACTTCTGCTATTATCCTAGTCCAAGCTGTTATTGTGTCTAATCCCGACAACTGCAAGAAGTACTAGCTGGATTCCCTGCTTATACAATTATATCTTTAATGACTTGGGTACTCCAGAATGATATTCAAAAAATAAGTGAGAACATATCACAGTCATGCTCAAGGCCCCCTCCTGGCTTTCTTTCACAGTTGAAAATCCTTACCAGGCCTATTTAATCTGGCCCCTGCTTCCCTCTTTTCAAACCACTCACCTCCTCCTTCACTGTTCCTTAGCCTCACTGGCCTCTTTTCCTGATTCATCAATGTATCTGCTGTCTACCTTCCCTAAAATGCTTTTCCTCCAGTGCTTTATGTACCTAATGCCTTTTTATCACTGAAATCTCAGCTCAAAAGCATTTCTTCAAAGAAGGGGACCCTCATTTTCCTCACCTCTATCTCATTATCCTGTCCTAATTTCTTCGCAGCTTTTTTTGACACCTAACATTTTCAATTTCATATTTAAAAACATCAACAATTTTTAAATCCATACCAAATGGTATTTGAGAATAAGAAACATTCTGATGTTCCCAGAACACTTCACAACTACCTAAATTATTCTTTTCTTTTTCTTTCTTATTGCCCTGTCTTCCTTAGTCAAGCTCTATGAAGGCATGTGTCTCATCTGCTATGTTGGCTACTGTATCCCAGTGCCTAGAAAAATGCCCAGTGCCTCTCAGGTGCTCAATCATTATTTGTTGAATAAATAGCTGATGTTCTCACTCTACCCACAAGTTCTCTTTATAGTTGTTTACTGGGTATGTCATGGAGACTCTGTATCCACCTTCACCTCCTTATGAAACTACCTTGCTCGTGGCCCCTATTTTGAGAATGGGCTGTGGTGCTCTTTGTACAGAGGAAATAAGTGATGAGCCCCTTTTCCATCACTAGCCAATGTACACACTGACCAGCAATCACTTCAATGTGGTCTGGAATAAAAATATGGGCTGGGTCAGATTTGCTCTCTGGCGACCCAAGTAGGAAAAAGAGTAAGTGAGGCAGTCCAGTTGGATCTGAGGCTAAAAGATCATGAATAGAGAGAAGGAAGAGGGTATGATGGTCCTCGTGCAAGCCAACATTGTGAAAAGGCGGGAAGAATAGGTAAGAAGCTATGACGCAGAGAAAGAAAGATATATCGGAGAGAAGAGAGGACCAGCCCTATGCTAAGTAGCTGAGTCACATGAGTGTTTTCACCAAGATAGTGAATTCTCACTTCAGCCGGGGATTTTTAACATAATGGTATTCTCTCCATAGCTGGTACTCTGTCATCAACTAGGGAACATATCTAATACTTTTGATTTGGGAGTACAGCTAAATTCTATTCAGGGCCACATAGCCTGGAGGTTCTATAATCTCTCCATGGCTGGGTATTCTCTCTACATCCCCATGTGGTCCCTATGGCCCTGATTTCTCAATGATCTCTACCTCCTTTCCTTTATCTCCGTCTCACTTTTTCTGTGTGTTCTCCTGGTGGTCCTATGCTTTCACCATAGCTTCATGGTCTGATAGTTATGTGTTCTTACCATGGGCATGTATTTACAGTATAAGTCTCTATTTTCACTACAGGTGTGTGTTTCATCATGGATGAATGTTCTCATTATAGCATGCGTTTCTGTTGTGGAGATATACTCTCCTCATGACTGTGTCTTTTTCAGTATAGCTTGGTAGTCATGTCTGATCAGATTTGTCCAGGGTTTAAGAGCAAAACGGGATTTTCACCATTCCGTGTTCTCACCACTATTTTACATTTGTACCTGATCATACATTTATCTTGGGCTGAATGTAACTTGGTTGCTTTACTCCTTCTCTTGGAGCTATCCTCAAGTGTGGATCAAGACTCATCACTTTGTGCCTCACTAAACCCAGAACATCCCTAGGTATCATTACATGGCCTTTACCAATTAATGCCACAGGTCTGGAGAGAGGTGCCTCCCCAGTCACTAAAAGAAGAAACCTCCTCGGGCTAGTGAAGGTCTAAGGGACCCAAAACATGTTGCAGGTTCTCAGCAACAGGAACACCTCATCCCCAGGTAATGCTGTGCCCAGAGGCCTGAACTAAGAACAAGAACTTGGAAAAAGATGGAACTCCTAAGGATATACTTAGGGGGAGCTAGAGGACCTGGCAAGATGTGCAAGAGCAAAGGGAATATAACATAAGGAGTTATATGGACCCACAGAGGGCACAGACCTGAGAGTAGAGGGTACTGGGAAGCAGACAGGTAGATGAAGTTAGAGGCCTGGGCAATGAGAGACAAGGTTGAACAATATGCATCAGAAGAGATGAGGGATAAAAAATTGCATGCTGAGGATGCTAAGGATGGGGTCCAAGGGGACAAATAAGGGATGCAGTGATGAAAGTGGAGGAAGTACATCAGAGATGGGAGATACATGCGAAAGAGATGGGAGGAATGGAGGGCAGAGATGGGGGAATTAGGGGTATCTCTCACCACTAAAGGCATACGTGGCACCATGGTTGTCAGTCAGCAGTGCAGATAAGACTAGATCTGGGCCACAGCGCACATCCCTATGGCCAGGGTGGGTACCATTCCCATGGCCTGTCCCATTCCTGTGTCCATGGCCTGGGAAGAGAAATAGGTGAGGGGGAACACAGAGGGAGATCAGAGGTCAGAATGCAGTCTGAGGTGGAAGAGATGGCAAGGATTAGTGGGAATGTAGGATTCTCCCACAGGAGGACAACTGGGAAGATCCAGCATGGAGATGGGGCTAGGGCAAGGGCCAAAGTACTATACCAGAGAGTTTAGGTAGGAGCTGGGGTATGAAAACTCAGGGGAGGTAGATGAATTCCAGTAGGTTTCAGGGGCTAGGGCTTTCTCACCTCTGCCAGGGCAGGGTATGAAGTAGTCTCGAACATCCAGAGGGTACTTTGGAAGCACCTCTCCCGTGACGGGGTTGAAGCGCAGGAATTGGTTACCCCGGAAGCAGTAGTAGCGGCTGAGCCATCGCAGGGCAGAGGAGCAGTTCCCAACAGCCGGCCAGGAACGCTCCTTTGTGGCTCCCGTAGTCAAGTCCCAGAACCATGTGTGGTTACCTTTGTCCGATCAATCAACAAGCATTCAGTGGGCCAGGCTACACCCTCCCTTACACTTGCACTGGGCCCAGGCTGGGCCAGATATGATCCTGACCATGTGAAGCTCACAGCCCGCAGGGAAACAGTTGAGAATGATCATACAATAAAATTCAGCAGGAAAATGCACATGATTGGCTCAGCAAGTACGGTGAGGAGAGACAGGGAAAACTTTCCAGAGAAGGTGATATTTAAATTAATACCTGAAACAGGAGTTACAAGGCAGAGAATAGGAGGAAAAGGAACTCCAGAGAAAGGAAAGTCTGAAGCATGAAGCAAATTTAGTGTATAAGGAACAGCATAGTGTCTCTGGAGTTTCATATTCAAGGTAAGGGCATGATGAGTGTCGAGGCTGGAGGGTCAGTAGGAACTTGCTCATGGAGAACCTTATATGTAAGACTAAGGAATACAGATTTATCCTAAGGGTCATGGGGAACAGTGAAGAACTTTTAGCAAAATTGCACCATTACCTCACCCAGGATGACTTCCTCTCCTTTCCCTATTTGACCTCTAGATCATAACTGGCATCTCTATTTCTTCCCTTCCTTGGGAAGCCATATGGTGGCTCTACCATCCCTGTGTTACCTCAATCACCAACAACCATTACTCCAGTCTCTCTTATTCCTGCCTCGACTGACCTTGGAAGAAGAGGACACCCTCATCTTGGCATTCCCCACGGTGACATTCCACAGCTGCATCCACTGGGGATGGAATTCCAGGAAACTCTTCTTGGAGCAACTTAGGATATCCTTTCTCTTTCTTCTCCGGAGGGTACACCCAGACTTTGTCCCCCTGCATATAAATCACTCTATTTTTAACTGTGCACCTCCACATGCTGCCATTCTGCATTTACACACAACATCTTTGATATATTGCATCTATACAATGTCCTCCTGTAGGCCTACACACTTTTGATCCACCTGTGGATAACAATGTGCTGACCCCTTGCACAAATACTAGTTTGTGCAAATCTCACCACTGTTGCTATAACACATGCACACATCTGGCTGTGTACAACCAGAGACTCCCAATGCACACTTATCTGTAACACCATTAGTCTTGGCAAACACATCCACACATAGTCATCCTGCAGTCATCCATCCATTCATACATTCATTTGTTTATCTATGTATTCATCCATTCACTCAAGAAACAGTTGCTAAATGACTACCATATGCCAGATATTGTGAAAGGCACTGAGGATAAAAGGATAACAAGATTGTCTCTGCCTTCAAAGAGTTCACTGTAGAAAAGCAGAAAGGATCCTACAATCCTAGCCATGCAGCCACCAAAGTGGAAACATGTGAAGTGCATTGGGAATATAGGCAGTGTTTAAGCTTACTTAGAGAATTCCTGGAAGCCTTCACAGAGGAGGAAGCATTTAGGCCTGAGTAGGAATTTTTCAGGTGGACAAGTGTGGAAAGGGTGTTACCAGCAGAGGGAGCAGAGGGAGCAGCCGGCACAAAGCCTGCACAAACAACTACATGTGGTCTCATGTAGCTGGCACACAGTGAATGTGGTGGGGGAGGAGAAAAGCTTGGAAAGATAACCAAAGGCCAGAACTCAAGCCCCATGTGTACCTGACTTGTAGGAATTGGCACAGTGTGGTACCACTTAGTGAAACAGGGGACACAGCAGGAAGGGTAGGTTTGTGAGAAAGATACTAAGTTCAGTTTGGGAGATATTGAATTTGAGGTGCTACAGAACATCTAAGTTGAAGATGTCTGCAGGAAATAGGAACGAGATGTCTGGAGCTCTGGGAGATATCCAGATCTGGTGTCCACAACACAGAGAGTCCTCAGAGCTGTAGCAATGGTTGAGATCACCCAGGGAGGGTATATCTGGGACAGATCTCCAAGGAACATACAGGGACTGGCTGAGGATAAGAAGCTTCAAAAGAGCAAGAAAGAGGCAGGAGGGGAAATCAAGCTGGCAGCGAGGGCTGCCCCAAGCACACAGCACCTTATGCAAATTAGGAGAAGGCGCCCCTTCCTCTGAGCAGACATAGCCTGGGCCAGGGCATGGGACTTGGTGAGCACAGAAGACTTGATTTCATCTTCCACTCACACCCTAGTCAGACGCCATTGTTGTGAACAGCCTGGCCACCATACAAACAGTACTTGATGCAGAGTCATGGAAATCAAGGGAAGAAATTACCAGGAAGGAAAGGATGGACAAAAGCATCAGGAGTAGCAGAGAAGTCTGTATAAAGATTGGGCCTGAAGAATAGCCCCTGGATGCTATGCCTGCCAGGCCCACATGCACATACACTCCCTTGGCTTGAGCTTCTTCAGGAAAATAAGGCACAGGGGGAGGAAATCTGGAACCTACAGGTAAGGAGTCCATGCTAGGGCCACCTGTGGGAGGCTCTATAATGTCCATTCCAGCCCTTCCCGGCCCAGCCCTGACCTTGGCCCAGAAGTACCTTGATCAGGAAGACACTGTTGTGACCACGGCGGAATGCAGCATCCACAGGGCTGGTGAAATTCTTCCACCTCTCTGAGATTAACTCCCGGACCCATTTGTGACTCTTCCACACGAACTCCCCTGAAAAACACACACTCTGAGGGACCCAGAACAAACATTTGGCCTACTGAGATAGTTACAGAGAAGCTGTGTGTGATACCCTCAGATAATTTCTGAGATCTTCCACAGACAGATACACCCTCAGTGAATGGGACCAAGTCTGAAGTCCCAAATGCCCCAAACCCAGCCCCTCCTACCTTTAAAAAAGAGCATGGCCCCATGTTCATCCAGGGTGGTAGCATCAAAGCTCCAGCCATCCGAACAGGGTTCTGGGATGGAGGTGGGGAGATACAAGTAAAAGACCAGTCAGGTAATACAATGCAGAGACACAGACAGACAGACAGATTAAGGGAGCTGGGGCCTCACCTGTCACATCTGGGTTCACTCTGGCCCCACTCCCACCTTCAGCTCCGTTCCCAGGGGTACCATCCCTAGAGACAAGACAGATAGTTGTCTGGATCCACTGGGCCAAATCCCTCTCCTTTAGCTCCTGTCTTCAAACTTGCAGGGCCCTAAAAACTGGCCCTATCCCACTTTAGCCCAGTCCCCAGTCCTTCCCCAACCCCAGCTTTACTCACGGAGGAAGAGGGTGGGCAAAGGTCAGAGACCAGCACAGGCCCAACAACCCCAGTGCAACTGGTACTCCCAGTGCACGAGCCATGCTGAGATGCCACAGGATAGCTCTGGGCACCTGGATGAGCCCCCTATATAGAGATGGCAGCAGCACCACCCCCACCATGAGCCTGCTGAAACTCCAAGTCCTGTCTGTCAGAACTATGCCAATATTGGCTGATTACATCAGCGCAAATAAGGTCAGGGTCTGGACAGAAATCTGAGTCCAAGACTAACTCTTCCCGGCAAGAGGCCCCATCCCCCTTCAATGACTTTTGAGCAGTAACTAGCCCCTGCCATTGATGCCCAGTTGTGACTTTCATCACCTTGGTGATGGGTCCAGGTGCCCATAAGGTCAAGGAAGGGCATAGATGGATTGAGAAGCACCTTTCTGTGGTTGGATTTACCTCTATAATGGGGGAGGAGAGAAGAGGAAATTACCACTTTTGTGTACTAAGTGTCAAGCCCTGCTCTAAGATAGCTAAAGACACTGATACTTACACATATTTAGCAACCAGACATTCATACAAACATACTTAGACATACTCAGAGAACAGCTTTTTTCCAAGCTTTATCAAGGGTCTTTCTGGGGGCATTCCCAAATCTCTTCAGCTTTGCCCTTAATGGGTCAATAATATTTCGCTGTTGCCAAATGTCTAAGTCCTGCCCCCAGCCCCACCCCTACTGGTAAAGAGCTTTGAAGAATCACCTGGGAGGGAAGGGCTAAATGGGGCAGAAAGAGGTGTCTCTCTCCCAGATTGCATTTCTAGTAATTAGTCTTTCTTGGTAGTTTCCACCTTAAGGGAAAAGTACTTTATTTACCCATCACAGAATAAATAGAACTGTAACTGGGGTTTCACAATATTTACTGCTGAGTCTTGCTTAAATGCTATCTTCTGAATGAAGTCTTTCTCGACCACCTTATCTAGCCATTTCAGACACTTGCATATTTCCTTTATGTCACTTATTAAATCTTGAAATTATTTCATCTATTTATTTGTTGCTTTGTTTGTTTGTTTTGCCCATCCTGTTTACCATTACATTCTATCCACCTAAAATAGTACCTGGTGCATAATGGATGCCCAATAACTATTTGTTGAATGGGGGAAAAGACCGGATTTCAAGTACTGACTACTGTTGCTATTATTGCAGTCAAATTTCTGACAATTTGTTTTCCTTCTGGGGAAAGGGGTATATCAGGAATTGGGGGTGTGTTAATGATGGGAAGCATATTGTGATCAAGGAGTCATATGTCCCCTTGTCACTGCCCTTCATCTGATGGTCTTGTTTCTCTCTCCAGTGTCCCATCCCCATATCCTTCTCTCTCTCCAGCCCTGGTATCTCACCTGCTATCTCTAGTATCGGCTAAATTCAGTACTCCTTGGGGCCACTCCCAAAGCCTGCCCCATTTTCATCTGAGACTTGGCTGCTGAGTCAGGAGACAAATATAGGCAGTCTGGTATGGGCCAGGCTGAGGTTCCAGGACCCCTATTCCCTAGCCCCCCTGAAAGGGGCCTGATTCCTCTCAGATGGTCCTATGCCCCTGACATTTCCCTATATAACCCTAGCAAAAGTCTCAGATCCCTTTCCTACTCTGCAAAGTTTTCTCCCAACAGAAAAACAAAGATTTCTGGGACCTCTGGAACAATGTATCACTAGGCCTCTGCCCTCAGGCTCAGTCTTCTCCCCTGACTTACAGATGAAAATGTGCCTTTATAATATCATTCCTCCTTAGTGGGAAAATCGGGACTTCCCAAGCCCTTGGCAGTATAGGCAAATGTCAGGGCTCCTTTGGGAATGCAAGCTGGTGCAGCCACTCTGGAAAACAGTATGGAGGTTCCTCAAAAAACTAAAAATAGAACTACCCTACGACCCAGCAATTGCACTACTAGGCATTTATCCATGGGATACAGGTGTGCTGTTTTGAAGGGACACATGCACCCCCATGTTTATAGCAGCACTATCAACAATAACCAAAGTATGGAAAGAGCCCAAATGTCCATCGATGGATGAATGGATAAAGAAAATGTGGTATACATATACAATGGAGTATTACTCGGCAATCAAAAAGAATGAAATCTTACTATTTGCAACTACGTGGATGGAACTAGAGGGTATTATACTAAGCGAAATTAGTCAGAGAAAGACAAGTATCATATGACTTCACTCAAATAAGGACTTTAAGAGACAAAACAGATGAACATAAGGGAAGGGAAACAAAAATAATATAAAAACAGGGAGGGGGACAAAACAGAAGACACCATAAATATGGAGAACAAACTGAGGGTTACTTGAGGGGTTGTGGAAGGGGGTATGGGCTAAATGGGTAAGGGGCACTAAGGAATCTACTCCTGAAATCATTGTTGCACTATACGCTAACGAATTTGGATGTAAATTTTAAAAAATAAAAAATAAAATTAAAAAAAAAAAAGAAAACTACTTGGCAATGTCTACCAAAAGTAATTATATGTGTACTCTAGGATGCATACTCTGCAATGCCACTTCAAGGTATATAACCAATACAAATTTATATATATACTTTAAAAAAAGGTCAGAGCTCCTATAGCAGATGCCTGACACACACCTTATCCCCACTGCAGGGCATCCCTGGCTGGACCTGCTCTGCCCCAGCTTCTAGGCACTGGACACAGGGAGCACTACCCGCAGACTTGCTTTCACCTATTTTGTTTTGTTTTTTGTTTTTTGTTTTTTGTTTTTGCCTCTGAGTCTCTAAAACCTCATATAACCTTCCTGGAATTCTCCCTCCTGAGCACCCAGTGACTCTTCCTCAGAAACCCCCTCAAACCACTGTCTGTAGCTCCAGACCTGTGCCTACATGCCCTACTAGATTTTGCTGAGCCTACCAGGGGAATGGAGGTTTTCACACTGAGTCACAAACACCCCCCAGAAAATCCACAGTGAGGGTCTTCAATAGCTGTACTATCAGGGCCCTGAATGGCCCTGCTGCCCCAGGGGAGCAGCCTCCCCTCTGGCCTAGCAGGACTTTTTGAGGAGAAACAGCATACATACTGGATGGTGGTTTTTCAGCTTGGGCTCTTTTTCTCCACACAGTTCTGGTCCCCTTCACAGCATCCCTGGGTCTATCTATCCTAGAAGAGTGATTTGTGGCACTTTCTCACTGTTGTTTCCTAATTCTCTTGTCTACCCTAAGGGGGCTTAGATACCATTATAGGAGTCTTTCTCTTCCTTCCCTGCCCCCCCCCACCCCCCCCCCCCCCGTCATCCCCCTACCCCATTTCCCCTGCCCCACCGTCCCAGGGACTAGACCAGCAGAGTCTTCTGCATGGCAGGCAGTTCTGTTCAAGCTCAAGTTCTGAGCAGGAGCTAAGAGGCAGAGGACTGTGTCCATTTGGGAACCCAGGCTGTGGATATGTATGTTGATCATTCCGGTGCTGGTCATAGGGCACAAGACAACTCTTCTCAGGGGACTCAAATAGGACTGGCCTTGCTTCTTTGCTCACTTGAGGTGGCCATTTCTGCTTATCCTGAGTCCTTCCCAGCCCTCTGGGCTGGGCTGAGAAAGGGCTCCTCCATACTTGGGCCAGAGCGCCCCCTGGAGGCCACAGGATTTAGTGTGCACCCACCCTTCAACCGGAGGCCAGTTTTCCTCTCCACAGCCTTCTTTCCCCCCTCCTCTCAGTCTGGCTGTGGGGCCTTAATGGTACATCCCTTCCTCTGCAAACCTCTGCTGCCCTGAGCAGGTTTGGGAACCTCAGTCTCTTGCTTGATTTCCTGGGGAATTCAAGCCCAGAAAGAGCCAACTATCCCTTCCTTGTGGTCTTCTGAATCCTCTTATCCAGCAACTTTCAGACTTCCCACAAAGGGGGTCTGAATGTGGGTCTGCAAACGTCTTCATGGACAGAATTTCCTCTTGCATTGCATGGGCTACATTTAAGCTGGACACTCACCCACCATCCCCTGGAATGGCTTGTCTAGCCGGTCCCACCCCTGGTCTGAGTTCTCTGATCTCAGTTATTTCTCCTGGGGCCCGCTGAATGCTGGGTGTGCTGGGCCTGCAGCCCAGCTGTGTACTCCTGGGAGCAGAGCCTGAATTCCTTTCCCTCGACTTAGAAGGCTTGGGATAAAGCTCCAGGCACCAAAAAGAGCTAGCTGCTCCAAGGGTACCTGGGTGGCTCAGTCGGTTGAGCCTCTGACTTTGGCTCAGGTCATGATCTCATGTTCAAGTCCCACGTTGGGCTCTCTGCTGACAGCTCAGAGCCTGGAGCCTGCTTTGGATTCTGTGTCTCCCTCTCTCTGCCCCTTCCCCACTCTCTGTCTCTCTTTCTCTCTCTCAAAAAAAAAATAAACATTAAAAAAAAAAAAAAAGAGCTAGCTGCTCCCAATTGACTCCTCCAACATGCACATTTTCTCTTGTTCTGTCATAATGGGCCTTCCTGCATAGTCTATTCCTGCTTCTCTGTGAATAAATATAGTAATAATTTGCTCATATCTATTGGACACATGTATGCGCTTGGCAGTGTTCTTGACATGGATTATTTCATTAAATCATATATATGACATATATACATACAGGATACTATTAGTCCTATTTTATAAATGAGGTAACTAATATTAGGTATTGTAGCTAAATCCCATTGTTAGCAAATGGTAGAGCCCTGATTAAGTTTTGGCTGCCTGACCTTTTGGGGTATGCTCATTACCCTTTCAAAGGGTATACTAGTACATAAGAGCCAGCTTTCCAGAATGGAAAAAGCCCTGATTGTAGCATTTGCTAATTTCTGTGGTATAAATCTCCTATTGTGGCCACCGTCAAGCTACAAATGACACCATCAAAGTGGAATTATGAAAAAATGCACAGTAACGTACTACTTACTATATGGCATTTCCACCACACAGATACAATAGATGTAAATAACCTCAAGAGCACAGGTAATAATAAAATGCAGTAAAAATATTAGGAAGTGATGAGTTTTGAGTACTACATTTGATTTTCATAAAATGTACTTAACCTCAAATTTACATAATTTAATTTTTAATAATGGCTGGGTTGCAACAACCAGCTGTCAAAATTCCTGAAAATTCAACAACGAGCCCTCGTGAGCCCTATGAGCCAGCTCCAG